CTTGTGGACAGCCTTCAGAAGAGCTGAAGCTGGTCTAGCTGCAGAGGCTGGACCAACATCATATTAAACCCTATGGATCAGGACTGGGATGTACCTGAAGCTCATATGTGAGTCAAGGCAGGTGAGACAATACTTTTGGTAGTATAATATATTTATATTTGGTTGTACATGTAATTAGGAGCCACTGCTTTAWGATATACTTGTTAAAAGAAAGTAATCTTGCTGATCAAATGATTCAAATTTTAAAATTACTCATTTTCTTCAGCAACAATCCTAAAATGAATGTATATTTAAAAGACACCGTAGGTGCTTAAAGTATAACAGTAAATAATATATATTACTTAAAGTTTTGTCACTATTACATAAATAATTGCTCTAAATGTTTTGWTGTGTCCAGCTCATCAATGACCCACATGTGACACAAGCTGCAGCTAACAGCAGGTTTGTATCTACAGCAACCATCTGCTAACTTAGTGTCTGACTTATTACTTCAGTTTACCACACTGAAACATTTTAACATGATGAGACAAGATGGCCACATTGTTTGTGTTGTGGTTGACTTCACTGCAGCTGTTGTTTTCCTGACTCTTTGCTCATCYCTCAGTTTTACGAGTGACTCAGACGTGTCCTCGCTCCGTTTGCCTCTCATGCTTTTAACTGCGAGACTCATCAAATGATCATTTAACTTCCTAACTCAAGGTAAAGTTCACAAAGTCTGAAAAAGTCCTGCTTTTCAGTCTTTTTAACAAACTTAAAAAATATGTTTGAAAATTACTGGCTTTTAATTTAGGTTATAAATCATCCCTTTTTCCTGAAGGTTGTTTTTTTATGTCACTTTTTGTATTTTTCATGTGTCTGCACATCAGTGCAACATTTCTTAAAGCTGAATTTAAAAACWAAATCCTTAAAGTCAGTAATATGTCAGAATACATGAGTAAAATATCCCAGTGATCAGTGAAGGTTTCCAGCAGCAGAGAACCAGTGCAGAAGAGGAGAAACAAGAGGAACCATCATAAAAAGATAAGYCCCTGCACAGCATGTCCCACTGGCAGACTGAGGAATAAATCCTACAGGTGGCTATGGGCTGGACTGAAGCGCTACAACAGCAGCACAAGTACAGACCCTCAACATGACAAATAGAAGATGCAGACTGTGCAAAAATCCCAGAGTTTCGTACCAAACATGGGGCAGAATGTGGGCAGGAGAAGTGTAGTGTGGTGTGGACTGGAGGTCCACAAAGGCTGAGACCACCCAACATACTGAACTGAACCCTTGAGCAGAGGGGTCCGTGTAGGTC